GTGTGGATTCGTGACTCCCACAGTTGTCCGAACATCCGTTATTATACACAGAATTGTTGGGGTTTTTTTTTTTTTACTTTTTCCATCGCCCGGAATTCTAGGAAATAGAAAAAAGGCGTTTCGGAAACTGGATCTGTTTCCGTCTTCAGGTGATGAAGGAAGACACCTACTCAGTTGGGCTCCTTAGAAAGAGCTCCAGTGATTGAGATTAGCTTTTTCTAAGAGACCCAACTGAGTAGGTGTCTTCCTTCCTCACCTGAAGATGGAAACAGATCCAGTTTCTGAAACGTGTTTTATATTTTATAGAATTCCGGACGATGGAAAAAGTCCAAAAACCCAGTAATTCTATGTTATCCACCATCGTCAGAACCCTTCTGAAGCTATCCGTTATTAACCCTCTCACTGCTGATACCTGGGTACACCGACAGAAAATCACGAGTTAATATTCTACATTCTCTGTGATCTTTATTTGTGTGGGATCAAATACTAATAGGTGACCAATATTCATTTGTTCGAGTTCCTTTAGAACGAGAAGACTGTAATATAAATTAGACTGGAAATTTGTTAGGAAACCCATGTAAATCTAGCAGTAATTTCAAAGGCAATGGGCAGCACCAAAAATGCCATTTTAGTAATGGCGCTTAACGGCTACAGTTCGTGAAAGGAAGTTAACGGAGAAATGTCTAACTGAATTTAAAGATAATTTCGAAGTGATTCACTGTCACATGAGTCCTTGTTGCCCTCTTCATCAAAAAGCCTAAAATAAAGATACTTGGAACGTCGTCGATCCGTTCGGTGATTGAAACAGTGAATTTTTAGACTCGTACAATTTCTTGCTGGAGCATCTCCATTATAAGAGCATCGGTCTGTCCGTCCGTCTGCACAAATGACGCGGGAGCTCAGAAAGAACAAATGAGCAGAGAGGAGTCTGAATTCATCCCTGACACAAGAGTGCATATTATTTCTAATATGAGGAGAAAGGCGAACCACCTCTGTGGTCTAGTGGCCAGAGTTCCTTGCTATAGATCCAGAGATCCCCGGGTTCGATTCCCGGCGCTAAGTTTTTCTGACAAGTAGTGGGTCTGGAACGGGGCCCATTCAGCCTCGTGAGGATAACTGAGGAGCTATTTCATGAAAATAGCGGCCCCGATATAGAAAACCGAGATTAATAGCCATGGGGATCCGCTGCGCTGACCACATGACACCCTCTATCCGCAAAAGTTGGCACTAACTTCGCCGACAAGCGGCGGTCACTCGGTCGGTATAGTTCGCTTGCGGAATACAGGTCACGGATTTCTTTTGTTTATGAGGATAAAAGCGTGCAGCCGCAGGTCACAAAGAGGCCACGGACGTTTTGTTTATAATGTTCTTGTCTACATAAAACGAACGTATAATTACTTAATGGGGGGGGGATTAGTGCCTGGAAGTCACATAGATTTCAGAAGAACACGGGTTATTAAGCAGCATTATGAGAATCTTAGCAGCGAACATACGTGTTGAAACAACTGAAACCCTCTGAAAGGGGTTAGAAGTGTTCTGAAATTATGTTAAAGAGGTTCTGCATTTTGAAACGCAACTTTTTGAGGAAGAAACTCTTGATCTCTTCTTTTAATATAAAGATATACGACTAGACGTGTTTGAGTTATGCACTAAATTGCCTCGAGAGTCATGGGCTAATGGATGAGTGAATGAAAGCAAGTACTGAGGTAAAGAAAGAAAATTTCCTGCCATGAATAAATGCTACTCCAAATAATCAAGCCTAATTATTTCTAAATTAAATTCAGGTAAGTGATCAGATACAAGGGGTTTGCCTTTATGGCAAAGGGCGGTGTATGAAGATATTTAAACGGAACTCCTGACAACAAAAATACGCATCCCTACCTACCTACCTACGACCTACCACTCGGCTCTACAGCCCTGCGTGAGACTTGGTCTCCTCTACAACCAGTCTCCACAACCAAAGCGTGCTGCCATAGGAATGGATCCACGCATGATGACCCGGGGCTGGTTGTTAGGTTTCTGAACAAAATTCTTTTTACAGGATCAGGTTGTTAGCCTCATGCCCAAATCCCCAACCTGGAGGACCAGGGTATCTCTCTTAGTCTGGACTCTACCCTTTGACATTTCCGGCATGGGTGATCCTACCGGAAGTTAAACTACCGCCGGTATAGCTCTCCAGGTCACAGAGTCACGCAAGCCCCAACACCACGAGAAGGTGGAGAAACCTTTTGGGGGAAATACACTTCATTATGAACTTCAAAATTAAAAAGGCATGTCAGTTTATTTTTCGTTTGTAGGATTCTCTGGTCAAAGACAAATTTCTAGTTACATTTTGACGGTTCTTACATTTGAGACATTAGACAAATTATTACAACACGCGAATTATCTCTATGTAGCACAGTCTATCCTGAGAAGCCGACATTCCTTCAGCCGGTCAGTATATTCTCCGCGTTTTGTGGAACCCCAAGGTTCATTATCGTGTTCACAAGATTTCGCAAGTGGCTCTAACCTAAGTCGGTTAAATCCAGTCCAGACCCTCAAGTTTCAAAACTTTCGTACCAGTAGTGATATTTTCTCGCATTTTTGTCTCAGTGTTTCAAGTGGCATATGTCCTTTCGTTTCCAAACTACAGTTTCACACGCATTACTCGTCTCCCCGTACATGTTACACGTTCCGCCTAATTTACGTATTTGTTCGATAATCTTAATAATAAAATGTATCGTGTGTAGTTGTTGCTATGCAACGATCGCGAGAAGGAACATGCGTTGCTTAGTAAGGCCGGTAAACGCGTCAGCAATACCCGGGCTATCGCTAGACAACTGCTCAGTAAACGGGTTCCCGCGGAAACGAACACGCACGTAAAAATTGAAACCATGTTTTCTATGTGGTTCGTGCCGAAATGTAATAAGAAGAGTCAGTCGAGTTCCGGAGTTGACAGTTGTCAGCAGTTCAGCTGAGTGAAGTGACGTGAAGTGTCTGGTTGGTGAGTGAGTGAGTTCAGTTGTAGTTCACTTCTACTGAATGACTGTGAAGAGAACGATAGGTCGGCGTGAAATGACCACCAGCCTGGGACCCAGTTATATGAGTTGTCAGTTGACAAGAGTTCTGCACTTCCTCTTGTGACAAGACGACCTGAGTGCGGAAGTTGGAGAATCTCCCTCGGTAGAAGCCGTTGCCAAGAAACGCCCAGTGAAGACTGTAACAGACTGAGGACACTAGCATACGCGTGTCACCGATCTGTAAAGTGTAGTTCCGAGTGATGTATACAAATGGTCAATAAATCAGTTCACCACTCCATACCTCGTCTATAGTCGCACACCCCTAAATCTGACAATATGATGAAAATAATATAAAATCTTAATCTCCTCATTATGCAGGAGCCGCGGTAGCGTAGTCGGTATAGTGACTGGCTACGGGCTGGAAGACTGAGGGGTCGGAGTTCGAATCCCGGTAGGACCAAGAAATTTCTCGTCTCCAAATCGTTGAGACCTGCTCTGGAGTCCACAAACCTCCTATCCAATGGGTACCGGGGGCTCTTTCCCCAAGGGTAAAGCGGCAGGGGCGTGAAGCTTACCACTCATTTCCATCTGGTGCCGAGGTCAAGAAAATATGGATCTATACATCCACTCCCTCATACGCCTTAATGGCGTAGTACTTAATTCGTTGAGCACAGGGATAACTTACCGCATAATGCAGTTTTCCCTGGCTTTCTGTCACTTTCTGTTCCTTAGATCAAAACATCGGTTAGTCGCTGGCTTCTTACCGCGGCGGCCCATGTTCGATCTCGGGTCTGGTCAAGTGGGATTTGTGGTGGACAAAGTGGCGCTGCGGCAGGTTTTCTCCGAGTACTTCGGTTTCCCTTGCCAACCATCATTCCACCAATTGCTCCACAATCACCCTCACATATCAGCTGGGGCTGGTACAATAGGCCAGAAGGGGCCGCAGTACAAGGGACTTAGTCCCACCCCACTAGCAATAAAAAAAATAGATCAAAACATTGTCCGCGCTATCTTGCTGTCAGACACCCTCAAATCATGCATCACGATCATATAAAAGAACAGCTAAAATTACATTTCTATGAATTTTAATCTTTATGTTTTTACTAGGGCAGTGGATCTGAAACGGGACCCACTCAACCTCATGAGGATAATTGAGGAGCTACTTGAATCGAAAAGCTGCGGCTCCGATCTAGAAAACCGAAATTAACGGCCGTGGGGATTCGTTGCGCTGATCACGTGACACCCTCTATCCGCAAAATTTGGCACTAACTTCGCAGATAAGCGGCGGTCGCTCGGTCGGTATAGTTCGCTTATGGTAGTTTGTTTTCTTTTGTTTATGTTTTTAAACAGGGGAAGGGAATACAGAATGTTCCGAACCACGTGGCGGCGCAAGTATTCCCCGCAACTAATCTGCTTTTTATTGCTTTCGTAAGTCAGGGACAGGATTGTGGAATACGAATGTATGAAAGTGGTCTATATGAAGAACCTCCTATACAAGTCGTGAGTATACGTCGAAGTATNTTCAAACAAAACACAATACACAAAACACAACAATAAGGACATCCTACCACAGTGAATACAAACCAAATACGATTAACAACTACAACAATTACAAAATATGAACTCCGTCAAAAACACAGTGCACTGACCTGTTGATATATTAACAGACTTTCCCATTTGTCATTAGGTAACGCTTAGATGGGGCAATTTTTCTCTTGTTCATTATTATCTCGACAATCTACATATCCGAACATAAAAATTCATGCACTTTAGGTAATATTTCCTGAAATTGTATCTGTTCTTTGTTATGAATTCCGGCATACATTTCCGCAGAATTGAAAGTGTTAATAATGATATTTAATAATATAATTTGTACGGAAATAAGAATCTACAAATCGAACAAATAAATGTAACGTGTTGAAGGTTACTGTTGTTACGGTAATTGTACAAATCCTGCAAATCACGACCTTCGCTCATTTTCCCCCTCTCCTAATATTTCCCGCTGTATACAACTCCCAGCTGGCTGGGTCCAGTACACTTCTTACTTTCGCCTCGAAGCAAAGAGACCGGCTGTTTAACAGGTACGTGCCAATGACCAAGTGACTTATTAAGGCAGATACATTTGTGTTTCTTTGTATTCACTCCAGTACGATATCTCTCACGAACACTCGGAGCGTTACAGTTTCCATCTCTAGCATGTATGTTGAACATCCATTGTTAGACCATAGGTCTCTTAGTAACAGAGTATTCTGACTGTGGTTTTCTTCAAGTCTTATAGGCAAAAGCTGGAATAGTACCTTAAATTAATATGCACAGAAAACTTTCCGATAAGCGACTTTACAATCTATGAAAATGCCAATCATAATTTGTTCATAGTCATTATAATATAATCACCAATGGAAGTTCCCGAGCTCGAGGTGCTCAAGAGAATATTTGGACTCAGGAGAGAAAAGGGCAACAGGAGGATGCTGACAATTGCATAATGACGAGTTTCATGATTTTATCTTTGTCCAAGATTTGGTTGATTAAATAAAGGAGATTCCGAGGAGAAGGAGAGATTATAAATGCATAAAAAACGTTAAACGGACCCGAAAGGGGGAAACAACTTGGGAGGCCAAAGCACAGATGGGGAACTACTATTAAAATGGACCTTCAAGAGATAGGGCAAAAGGGTGTGGGCTAGGTTCGATTGGTCTCCAGTGGCGAGCTCTTTTGAAAAGGGCAATTGATATGTGGATTCCATAAATCCTGACAAGCTGGACAATTAAAAGCTGTCAAGGAAAATCAAATATAAGGGAATTATCTAATATATTAGCATGCACTGCAGAATGTACGAGTTTGCATGTCACACCATAGTAAACAACGAATAAAAATGGCTACCATTTAGTTTGTAAATATTCATTTTGGCGCTACGGTTCATTGGGTAATTATTATCGTTTAATTAGGTGATCTATATAAAACAAAGAGGAACATCTTATTTGTGGATTATATCTGTTAGTTGAATGTTGTATAGAGTGACATAAAATAAGTGGATTTGTAAACATACTATCTACGCACTATCGTCCTATTGCTTGTTATAAAGAAACTGTATCCACTACAGATTATGCAGATGTATCCCACGAAATTTCTCACACTGGCGAAGACGTCCATATTTAATATGGCCTTATAATACCAACTATAAATTTGCGTAATTAGACTCCAAACCGGTTCCTACAAAATCAAATACCGTATTGCTTTGTATAAGACACCCTCGAATTTAAGACTCAAGTTTTTGGATGTGAATCTTAGGAAACAAATTATAAATTGAAGAAAGCAGTTTTCTTGGATTTGGCACCGTGTATATGTGGTGTTAACCGACGTTTCGGAGGAATGTATCGCCTCCAGACTGTGGCAGACTGTGCACAATCTGCCTTTACCGGTTCTCACGGTATCTTCGCTTGCAGATTTCTTATATTTTTTCTTCTACCCTGAAGATGGAGTCGATACATTCCTCCGAAACGTCGGTTAACACCACATATACACGGTGCCAAATCCAAGAAAACTGCTTTCTTCATAGTCACCGCCGTGAAAGCCTCAAATCTTACAAATTATAAATTCCTCGAATTTAAAACATATCAGTTTTTCAAAAGGAAAAAATATGTAAAATGTGAGTCTTACATTCAAAGTAATACGGTATATCACTTCCCTAGGGCGACTAGACTACACCCACAACACCGCAGTCGGTAGAGTTGCAGCTGAGGAACGGCGAACTATTCGGGTCTCATTTACTATTTTCAACAGAAATTGAAATGCGGCTTCTCAGGGTGATCGCAGGGTACAGAACGTCGAATCATAGAAGTAACGAATACATCAGACAGAAATTGTGGAACACAATGATTAATAATACAATTATCCAAATAAATTACCAGAATTGTTAAAAATACCTTGAAATCCGATACTGATAAAATTCTACCAGTAAAATATGAAGGGAAGAACATACCGCAAACTTATGACCAAAAGATGGAAGGAAAAATTTTAACCCCTGTAACCGCAACATGTCAAGAACTTAATTCCTGACATTGATAATGAAAGTCGATTACAGACACTTAGATTTGTATTTCCTATCATTCGGAAGCCTAGAGATGTTCACAGACATTATAGCAGACATGAGGGAATTCATTTATTTCCGTGGAATGTTTAGGATTTAATTTCAGGTTGTGTTTTAAAATTCAGATAACAATATCTGATAGATGCATTCCAGTGTGGAGTACACCTATGTTCCAAATGATCTCTTTGCTATTTTTAGTTGCTTCTGCCGATTCCAAATATTTCATATTCCTACATTTTCTAAATTACTTATTACTTTTCTTTATATTAGAATTTACACAACATTCTGGGGACAAGACTTTAGTTTAATCTATTTCTTTGGAATCCTAAAAAGCACTTCTTATCCGACAATAGTTTCAATAATTTCAACTTCGTTAACGTAGGTTGCCGCCTGACAGTGGAGATGGTGACACAACAAGAATATTACTCATTAAGAGTCCTGTGACATAACACTTAGTCCTGGAAAAGAAGCAGCTTAATTTTTTAAAGGAAACAAGAAGATTCACGCAGAAAAGTCAATTAATCTTAGCGTCCATTGTTTATCTTCGGTAAAAATTGCAACACTTATACATTCTACACTTCAACACTACATGTTTCGGCCTCAAACGGCCATCTACAGGTGTTTTTATGTTACAGATCTTTTCCTAAAACTGCGTTAAAAACTGCTACACTGTTTTAATTCGTGTTAAAATCACACGCTGTAGTCTTCATTTTAAGTAAAACGAGATAAAATCCTTTAAAATTTCTGTTAACACAGAAGTTAACACTGAAGTGTAGAATGTAAAAGTGTTGCAATTTTGACGGAAAAAAAAAAATGGACGCTAATTTGAACAATTGCAACGGGATGCTGAAATGCAGAATCACAATTAATCTTATTGTTAAGGACTGGCATGTAACACAAAGTCTCCGATTATTAGGACGCAATCGATAGGGCGGAATAGGACCGCATTCAGCATGTTGCAAAACAATGTTGGATGGTGTTTTATGAAAAAGCTGGTCACTTCCAGAGACAAGCAATCTCCATATGGTTTGAATGTTGCCTCACGGCCTTATAACGAGGACAGAGAGTGCGGATAGTTGAACTTTAATGAAGTAACAGGGTAGGTCACGAACTACTACATTATATGCCAGCAACACAACGACCACATATCACAGTTGTTGAAGCGATGTGTGTATGTGTGACTCAGTGTCCTAATCAACTGAGTAATTATCATCTGATCAAGGAAAATCCTTCATCATGCCAACTAATTATTTACTGTGAAGATTCGTTTGCCGGTCACGGTAGCCGAGCGGTCTAAGGCACGAACTGTCTTCGCTCGCTTGGAAACCGGGATCGTGGGTTCCAATCCCACTCAGGGCATGGATGTTTAGTTTGTGTGTGTGTGCGTTCTTCTGTGTTTGTGTACGGGTAGAGGCCTTGCGACGAGCTGATCACCCGCCCAAGGAGTCCTATCGAATGTGTAAGATCTAGAAAAACAGAAGTGAACAGAGAAGTTCGTGGAGGTAGGCCTAGGCCCACTGGGGCTGTAGTGCCAAGGGGGGGGGGAGATTCGTTCAGCTAGTCAAGGAAATTTACGCCTTTTATAGAACCATTAAAATTCATCGTCGTGTTCACAAAACTCTACTTCTAGACCGTCTCCTGCTCCACACGAATCCAGCTCCTTAAAACCGATAGTACTGTGATCTTCCCATCTAGGCTCTGACAGTAGCCATTGTGCTGAAATACTTAGTGGTCAAAATAGGCCGCGCCATAACTCAAGCGGTTAGTCGCTGGCTTCTTGCCGCGGCCCGGGTTCGATCCCGGGGTCTAGTCAAGTGGAATTTGTGGTGGACAAAGTGGAGGTGGGGCAGGTTTTCTCCGAGTACTTCGGTTTCCCCTGCCAATCTTCATTTCACCAATTTCTCCAGAATTACCCTCACCTATCATCTGGGGCTGGTACAATAGGCCAGAAGTGGCCGAAGTACAAGGGACTTAGTCCCACCCACTAGCAATAAAAAAGTTTACTAGAAGCTTACACTGAACCCTATTCTAAGCCAGACACAAATCCAGTCTACATTGCCACAAACTATCGCTTTACAGATCACTTTAATACACTCCCCCTCACATAAAACCACAATACATTCATTATGCTGTAATATATTTAGCAGAAATAATCCAGTCGCATAAAATTAACTAAAAGCAGAGAAAGAAATTAAGTTAACGTTACATATCAATTCAATTTATATTTAAGGTAGAACAAGTACACAGAACATGTAAGAACGTTAGGCATGACATCCATATTCTTGTCATTGTAAGTACTTGCTGCCGTAAGTTTGACGCAAAATGTTGTTTCGTTAATTCACAACATTCTGGACCGAGTTCTGGGCAGCCGGTAAAGGCGAGGAGAAAGTAGTAGATTTGACCGACCGAGTTACCAGAACAGGAAGTAGCTTATGTATGGAGGCGGAGAAATCTCATTTTAGTTACAAATGCTCGAATTACACAATCACGGCATTTACGACAGCAATCAGCAGCAGAAATCTGTACGGAGGAACTTATAATTTACCCTCAGATCTTCTCTATATCTAGAAATGTTCACATTAAATGTCTATTAATTATGGGATTTTATATACACAGACTTCAGCTTTGGGAAGGTATTGAGTGTGGTAGGATTCAGGTGGCTAAGACTGTGGTCCCGTGGCGGTCTTTGTGAACACGGTAACGAACTTCTGATTCCCCAAAAGACAAGGATTTTCTCGACTAAACGAGGAAATATTAACTTTTCAAGGAGTTATATGGAGTTTGTTAGATCTGAACTTTGTGCGAAGTTAGGGTTAAAATGCACAGAGACAAAAATTAAAATGTCTTGATAGCTTTTAACATGGGCAATTGAAGTGGGAACAAGAAATATCCTGTGCTCTGAACTTTTGAGCAGATTTTCACTGAAATCTATTTCATAATTGGGAGATGAAACATGTGGACTTTACACACACTGAGTAGATAACGCACATCTGTACCTTGGATATCTCGGCTTCATAGTTCAGGCGTCACAAAGTGCGATACACAGTTATATAGAATCTGCTTGTTTAAAAAATCGTTACCTCATAAAATCTGAGTTGCGTGCAAAACTGACACTGCCATTTATTGTGGGGTCTCCTACGAGACATAATTGCTTCGCGTTTAATCTACTGTTACGAATGACCCACATAAACATTTCTCAATATGGTCACCGTCCCTTGCATCTTATATTCCTCCAAAGTCAACAACAATGTCAAAAAGAATCAGAGAGGCATAAAAATGGATTAAACACTGTAGTGGTAAAAAATAATCTGGCTTGTTAAGTAACCTGGACGGTTCGCATTGACCCTTCGTTAGACAGGAGACAAAGAAACGTGCCTCCTTGTCCTACTGTACTCAATGTAATCAACTCTGGAAGGTCAAACCAAGTTCTGACCATAAATCATGAAGATTTTTATTCCTCCAATGTAATATAGAACCGATCTAATATGAATAATGAAAGGATATGTTTATTTGTAATCTATTTAACGACGCTGTAAGTGGCTCACACTAACAGCGTCTAGGAACAGATATATTACCTGTATATCTACGTGTTTAACACAAACGTAAGTACAGGTATTAAGGCTCTCAAAATAATCTGACAGTTGTTAAATTTGTCTTATAAAGAAAATAAGGCTATCCCTGTAACAGGCCGTGAAGGGCCATAGGTTTGTGTGACGTTGAGGTTCCCACATTTTCTCCAGACAGTCGGCTCAAAGATGGCAGTAAGGTTGACAACCTTAAGCACCGGCCGCCTTTTACCCCCCAGGAAGATTCCTGGTAGTCATTTCTGTTAGAGACTGAGTGGACCCCAGGGCCATAGCGCGGCTGGAAGAATTACGTCAATTGAAAAAATCCACCTCATCAGGACTCGAACCCGCGACCTTCCGGCTTGTAGCATAGTGCAAACTTGTCTTATATTGCAATGTAAGCTGTTTTGTAACGAATGTTTTCCTACGGTCTGAAATTATCAGCAAGAATAAAGTGTCTTGAGTTAAAAATGCTTGGAGCAAAGGGCGTATGCTCGTAATGAATATAATACTATATACTTCAGAGGACAAGACATTTCGTGACCCAAGCCTGCTTCCCATAAATCATAATAAGTGAACACTGTTGTGTTACGAGTGTTATGAGTGGTTTACTGGCAAAGGCAATAAATTTGTAAGCGATAAATAACAAAATAACTGAAACTATCAAAGAATATATCGTTGAGTTGCGTGAAGCTCCTCATTTAACTTCAACAACATTTCGTAACATGAGTCTATAAAAAAGTTTTCAATTGAAATTTCATTTCGATTTGTACATGTACCAGTCCAATGTTATACACGTATACCTCTCAGCAAGGTTATATCTGCACTGCTGATTACTTTTTTGAAGAAGAGGGTTTCATGACTGAAAGATGAAGTATCCGGAGATCAGAGAAACAGCACAATAATTTGCAATCATCATCTAATATTAGCATGCTTAAATGAAGGATGAAATGGGCAGGACACGAGGGAAATGAGAAATACTCACAAAATTTTGGCCAGATATCTTAATGGAAAAAACAATTTGGGAAACCTAAGCATAGTTGAGAGGACATGACTAAAATATTGTCACGTGTTTGTGGGTGGCTATAGACGGAATTTGGATTGGTGAATGTATTTATTGACCGTTTATACACATTACAAGGAATTTCAGGGTCGCCGCTAATCTCCAGAATTCCCAAATCACCATCGCACCTGCTAAATCTTTTCCAGCCGTTCCCTGAGAAGGGCTTCTAAAAGTACCCATTCTTCAGCTTCAAGCACTCAAGTCCCCTCTTCACAGACTCTCATACAGAACTCGCTTCGTCGCCCCAATTGTCAAGAAAACTCGTCAGCACGCACCACATAGAAACATCCCGTTTCAGACAGTATCACTATTATTGTGTGTCGATTCATTGCTGCGGGAACGTATTTATCGTGCCGTTGCCTAGAAATGTCTCTGGTATATTCGCCTATCTCGCGGCCGTCCCACATTAATGGCTCTACACGCTACAATATATTTTTCAGAAACAGGGTGTGAGAGTCTGGACTGTATTAATAAAAACAGAGGTTTTCCTCACCACGAGTAATTCTAAACTTTTCAATAAAAAAAACCTGTACTATGAATTTACCGTATTTTACGCATGTAACTTTAATACACTTTTAATCCACCATTCAAGAGGAAAACTGGGGTGCGGCTTATATTCGAAATATTCGAAATCACACTTCATTTAAAAAAATTATATTCATAATTAGTAATACAGGGTGTTCTACTCCTGAAATAATATTCCAAGAAAATTATTTTTTCTATAATTTGTCTGAAAATTGTGCTGCGGCCTATACACGCACGCGGCCTATACATGCGTAAATACGGTATGTTAGGCACCGCAAAATTGTAATTTGACTCACTGCAATATAGTACCTGTACTGGTGAGTATGTGTCAGCATTTATATCTAACAAACTCCGTGATTTTAGTCCGCAAGCGAAGTATGCCGACCGAGCGACCGCTACTTGTCGGCGAAGTTTGGTGCCAACATTTGCGGATAGAGAGTGTCGCGTGGTCAGCGCAACGAATCCCCACGGCCGTTAATTTCGGTTTTCTAAACCGGACAGCATTTATATCCACAACTGAATATTAATCAATACCAAGAGAGGCTGTGAGATTAGAAAAAATTATTTTGAAAATGTGCATATATCATTCTCGTTTATGAAATGCGTCTTTAAGAATATTACCAAGTGACAGATATTTATCATTTTGATGCGCTGTTTCAGGGCATGATGACTACGCCATACGGACTGTGTGTCTTACTGATTATCACAATTCCTGCACACATTACTGCTTTCAAAGATGGAGCTCCGGACAGTGTATGTGACTCCATGACGCCAGAGCACCACTCTACTCCTCAAACTAAACCATCACCATACACAATCACTCCAAGCAAGTTAAAAATCAAGGCTGGTGAATCTCTACAAGTGACCCTGTCTGGAACTGACAACACCAAGTTCAGAGGATACTTTATTCAGGCCCGTGTCGGCAACACTCCTATTGGAAAATTTGAGAAGGGACCAGAAATCAATTTAGTCAACTGTGGAAGTGGTGTAGGGGTAAGAGTATCATGCCAATCAAGTCAGTTTCCAAGTCTGCTAGTGTATTTGGTGCCATTGTAACAGATCTGTCTATAAGTAGTTAAGTTTTCTGCTACCAGTCATTGTTACATCAATTCTCTGTAGTAGATTCAGATTTCAGAAACATACACAGCATACTATTTTGTGGAGAGCAAACTTATGATCTTTCTGCTAAAGGAACTGTCAGCACAACAGTTATAGTTATCCTTTTCCTTTAAGAAAAGAGACATATAAGGGCAGCCTCCAAAATATCATACATCTTGACAAGTCTAAAGAAAGCAGTCCCATGTCTTTCATGTTATTTAAGAGGACTTGGGAAAAAATTTCAGAGTAACAAATGAAATGGTACCTACTGTCCCCATCATCATACTTAAGTGCTCTGACTCTTGTACCCCCTTTGTTTATTAGGGTGATCAAATAAGGGAGTATCAGATGGATAGGTTAAGTAGGTAACATATGATGGAGAGATGAGAAATGAATGCAAGAGTTTTGTCAAGAAACCTGAAGAAACCACTTGGGATATGTAGGCATACATGACAGAATAATTTCAAGAGATATCTTAAGTAAATAGGTTGTGAGGGTGTGAACTAGATTCAAATAGCTCAGGATATAGTCCAATTGTGGACTACTGTGAATACAGTAAGGACATTCTTTGTTCCACAAATAGCAGGAATTTCTTGACCAGCTTACTATTTGCTTCTGAAGAAGTAATAATCGGTTTGATGGTTCTACTTATGCTCATCCCATGGTAACAGCTGTACTTTGTACTAAATATAACGGCATTGTTGGTACTAATTCTGATGCCAATGTTAGTTCATGTTCTCCATTACATAACTCCTACTGAAGACAATCTGAGAGAGAAAGTGTTTCACAAAGAAAATATTCTGAATAAGTAACCATCATTTCGCTTCATGTGCAGTCAGTATTTCAAGCTTTGATAGTCAGGCCTATTGACTACATTATATACATAAGTTATGAAATGTCCTATATTAACATTATTTCTATGTTTAGTCTGCAGCCACTCACACTGATAACAAAGACAAAAACTCTATTACACTCAAATGGACGGCTCCTGAAGGTCTCACAGAAAGTGTTCGTTTCCGGTAAGTCCTATAAGAGAAGGCATGCATCTACTGAAGGTGTAGGAAGCTTTGATACTACCCGGGGCCTGACTAACACAGTTTCATAAAGTGTGGATCCATTTAAATTCTAACAATTTGATTCCTGACTTGATGTTTCTAAAAGAAACCATACTCATTCTATTATAGGAAAAAAGGTGCATCATCATCGGTTAGTGACGCAGATTGTTATGTCATTAGAAATTTACTAGTGTGTATTTTCAACATACTTTCAGTATTCACATGCTGTTAGGAAATTCTGACACAATTGCACTACACGTCTCATCCATAAGTTTGCCTACACAATATACGAGGTATGCTCGTGTAGAGCTCAACAGGCTTCAATTGTAACATGGTTTCATGATACAGACAGAATTATTGTGGGATCTGTATATAACTATATAATCTTTTATATTCGTTCCTTGTTCTTTATATCACAGTCTTCTTGAAATCCCAAAATACAAACCAACTGGTTTCCACACATTTGGAAAATGAACGGTATACAGCAAAACTACGTTATAGCACGACTCACTTTACCACGGGTCTAGTCATGTCTCCCAAAATAATTCCATTTAGTTTCTTTGTAAGCATCGTTTCAAATTTTACTGCGACCTTTTCTTCGTAAACAACTTTGTTCAAATGAGTGGGTAATGTGACCTTGCATGTGATCGGTGATTTGCTAAGGACAGATACACTGATGCTTCTCTATGTTGGTGATGGAACTACCGTGCCCAAGCCAAGGTACTTAAAGATGCGTTTCTAAAGGCTTCTGGGAGAATGTTAATGCAACTCTTTCTCTTGCTTTCTTCATACAATTATATTATATTTTCTATTTTAAGGGTATTATTATGTTCATAGAAAGGAAAATGTATACAATTAACGAAAAGTTGGGCACAATCAACAAATTGAAACATGGTGATTCAATAGCTAGTTTACTCCAGGAATTTGGTTTTCCTGAAGGTATTTAATTTGATGAAAGAAGAAGACAAACTACAATTATCTGTTGATCAAGTGGATGACAAAATCGGCTTTGATAGGCAATAGCCAGATATAGTGAAGATGACAAATGTCTGTGTACATGGTTTGTACAGAAATGTACTGAAGGTATACTAATATTGGGACCACTTCCTTAAGCGTAGGCGGTTAAATTTCACAAGCAAATCGGCAGTACTGATGAATTTAATGCATATAATGATTGGTTATTCAGATGGAAAATTTGTTATGGGGTAATGCAAATCAGCATAGAAGAATCTTTATTCCAATGACAGTGCAGTTTTGTGAGACTTTCCATAAGATGATCTATGAGCATGAATACAATGAAGAGGAATTATACAGTTGTGACGAAACTGCTTTCTACTATAGAATGCGTCAAATCAAGTCTTTGGATATTATTAATAAGTATGAAAACCAGCAAAGAAAGGGTGCCTTTATGTTGGAGCAAGTGCAAGAAAGACAAGAACAAATAACTTCAACTTGTATGAAAAGCACAGTGGTCTTCTGGAGACAGCAAGTAGCTGCACTATTGCCTCTCAAGTGTAGAAAGGAAAGTAGTGTGCACATACAGTAGCTTGATACACGATTACTCCAAAAATATTGCACAGGAAGTTTCCACAAGATGCTTAAACCAACACTGTTACGTAGTCAGCTGAAATCACCAAGAAGTATTCTCATTATTCATACACAAGCACTAGGATATGAATGATCTCAAGTGGGGTTGTTTGCGACTTCTGTAAACAGCACAAGCACTTTCAGAAACAATACATGCAAAGCCTACATGCTTGTCCATGAGACATGCAAGTTATGTTCTTTAAATGGTTATTTATGTGATACTCATATGATATGTCTGGTTGCAGATGTGCAGTACATAGAATGCGATTCTGGTGAGTAAGGTAGTCTACACTATACAACCCATTATTCAACATAAAGAATTTTGCTCATCATCATAGAACCATTTCTCACATTTAATATTACACCTTAAATAATACAAGTAGAAATGGTATGAATGTATACAGACCAAGCTTACAGGATGCATCAGTAAAGGACCATGCATTCTGGTTGTTTACATTAGCAATAGACAAGGTGAGTGATGAGTATCAGGCTCCAGCTGCTCTACTGCTAAGAAAAGAGCCCTCTGTACCCATGAGACTGAATGATACATGAACTCTAGAAATAACTTGCGAAGAGAAAAATATTTTCCTCCTCTTAGGACTGACCAAGCTATCCTGGCTTATACAGATTAAGTAACAGGCCACCTACTGATGATGTATTAACTTCTATGATCAAGAAGCCTGAAAGAAGGCATGGATCAAGAAAGATATTTTGGTAGTTCATTTAAGTGACAGAGAGACTGGGGTCAGATTAAAGGATGGCATATTAGAAATTTTTTCCTTTACATGTTCACTATAAATAATATGTCCATCAAGCCTCCTAACTATAATGTTACTGGGGGACTATATCTACAAACAAACGCAGCCCCAAGGAATGAAGACTACTGATACAGTTTTGGGTGGATAACCCGAAGAAATGAGATCAGTTGGAACATACAAGAATAAAAGGGAGGATATTAAAATGAATCTTGGAGAAACAGTTGGCAGCATGTGGGCTGAATTCACTTCGCTCAGGATAGGTGCCAGCATTGGGCTTTTGTGAACATGGCAATGAACATTTTGGCACCATAAGATGCATGGAATTTCTTGAGTAGGTGAGTGGCTATTAGCTTCTGAGAACTACTCTGTTCCAGACTTAGTTTGTTTGATAATGTAAAGAAACTGAAATGAATATTACCCATTAGCAAATAAATGTTCTAAAACAAAAACACACAACATAACCGAAGTATTGTAATTAGGGTTAGGATAAGAAAGTATCCATAACTAAAGGGGTACTTCTGCAAAGATAATTCATATTAAAAATTATGTGCATCTAATTACACTTTATCGCAAAGGTAGAAAAATGTATGCTAGTTGCCACTGACATATCTTAGAAGTCTGATGTCTTTTCATGAGTCTTTTGGCCTTGCATTACCTAATATAATCAAGGCTAACAGCCAGGATTCCCTTTCTTAGGGAATGTCTACCTTCTTAACTCAAGGCAATAATTTCTGCTAGAGATACATCTGTAAGTATTGAAACTAAACTTTGTGTATACATGAAAAGAGGCTAAGAGTCTAAGTGTTCCTATCAGATGTCACTATAGTTCTGCCATAGCCTTGCACTGCTGAATTTGAGAACCATGACTGGTCATCATATGCCATCTAACAGCCTATGAAAACGCCAAAAACTATTTATTTCATAATGTGGTGCTGTTAGATCATCAATAGGGCCTAGAATATTAAAAAAAAGGGGTGTATCTGAATATAGTTTGCAGAATTGCTATGACTGAAATGTAAAACTGTCAATGCGGACATTACAGATTTTTTGTCGCTTCCAGTTAATATGTTCTTTATAAAAATGGTCAGCATTGTGTCCCATTATATAAAAGTAAAGCTATCTCTGTACCAGAGCGTGAAGGCCCATATGGTTGTGAGACGTTGAGGGTCCCACATTATCTAGACAATCGACTCAAAGATGGCGGTAAGGTTGTCAGCCTTATGCGCCGGCCGCGCTTTACTCCCCAGGAAAATTATTTAATTAATTCCTGGTACTCATTTCTGTTAGAGGCTGAGTGAACCCCAGGACCATAGTGTGGCTGGAAGGATTAGGTCAACTGAAAAAATTCAATGACCTCATCGGGACCTGAACCCGCGACCTTCCGGCTTGTAGCATAGCCCCTCAACCAACTATGCTACCGCTGTGTCCCATTATATACAGGACCAAAAGAAAAACTCTCATTTTTGTCCCGTACATTATTTACAGTGTTCTGAAACCAAAACATTTTAAGCAGCAAATGTGACCAGCACTCAACCTGTAGGTTACCAAATTATAAATTTATGCAATAATATACATGTAACGTAAACTGGTTACTGAGAGTGAGAAAAAATTTCACTGCCAACCCCAAACATCTATTTTCAGTTTGTCAAGAATCTTCTGTACCAACCATAAATACACTCACATTACACTATGTCAGCATTTGAAGTGTAGATGCTTCAAAACTGTGGTTCTGAAAATGTTAATGCTTATATCCGACTGTCATGTTAGTGCTGAAATTATAAGTTTGGAACTTTTCTTAATACAACATTCTGGGAATTAATTAATGTGTGGCTTTAATCCCATAAATTGAATCAGGACTATTAAATTCTTTGTTTAATTCTTTCAGTACCACTTTTGTCCAAACTGGACCTGTATACTGGGTTGGTCAAGAATCTCAGCCCATCACTGTAACATAAGGGTAAGTATTACTTAAAATCATTGTCAAATACTGAGTATTCTAAGCCTGGATTACTAATTCTGAGTTTCTGAGCAGCATGTTGCTGTCATGAATACTGCTCAAAGGAAATATAACTGGCAAAGTAAACAAGTAATTCATTTTGTTGTTGTACATTCTCCAGAAGAGTTACCAGAATAAAAGTTGCATATTCTTCTATTGGCTGTTACCCTGCAATTTTAGATTAGGTGGCACTAGTCGTTTTCACCACTGATTACAAAATCAGGATGTCTGCAGTCGGGGTGGCCTCTAATAAGCATATATACATATCAGGTTAATGAATACAAGTTAACTGGTTCGAAAGAATGAGGGAACATAAGCAAACGGCATGGTGATCTCACAAGCTTACTTTCCCAGCATTCTTTAAAAAGCGGAAAAATGTCCCATATGCCTAATATATTGCCTAACCATTGTGCACGTGTTCTTCAAATCTGATTGGAGAACTTCCACTAAATACTGCTGAGAAACTCCAACTTTCAGCCATATATATCCATAATAATAAGGGGGTTACATATGGACATAAATGGACACTTCCATGAATCCCATAAATGATTTTGCAATCTTGCTGAAATTTGATATGGCAAAATTTCACTAAAAGCTGTTGGGCAATTAAATGACAAATTTCATAATGCAAAACCTATTTTTGCATTCCCTCCTAATGTTAGAAGTTAAGATGCATTCACCTAGTAACATCAGCTGACTCTTGCAATAAACTAAAAGAAAAATACTTGCACTGAAGTTGATGACCTCTTTCCAGACACCTTAAATAAGGGTTACACAAGAAAATATAAAATAAATTATGAATAGGATCAATGCTATCCCTCTACCATTATCAGTGGATGCACACAAGTTAGCCAATGGCCAGCTATGTACAGGTATCCTGCTACATAACTGATGCATGTATATGGAACCTGAATTTGTTAATACTAAAACTCCCTTAAAGAGGCCGGTATAGCAGTCAGTATAGCAACGAGCTCAATGGCTGTAGGGTCAAGAGTTTTTGTTCTGGTAGGGACAAGGTTTTTCTCCTCTCTACATCATCGAAACCAGTTCTGTGCCCACCCAGCCTCGTACCAAATGGGTACCGGGGATTCTTTCCTTGTAGGTAAAGTTGTAGGCACGTCAAACTGACTATTCACCTCCAACTAGTGTCAGGGTCATGAATATATGCATCTATACATCTACTCCCCCATATGTCTTCATGGTGTGGTGCTTAATGACAAATTAACATCAATAGTTTCTTAAAAAAATTAGTTTTGGTGGAATTTGTTTTACATTTTATTTAAAAAATTTAATATTTATGCCAAGTTTCCATAAGGATGAGTTTTTGATCAATATTGTGAATATTTATGGCCATGTTCTACAGTTTCCATAAAGGTGAAATCCCATAACCTGAACATCTGCACTAAATTTCCAAGGCCATAACACTTCCAGTCAAGAAGAGGTCTGTCTTTATTATATAAAATTATTTAGGAAAGTGTTTTGTTTAACACCCTAACCTCACTAATCTGGTGATGCTTCCATATATTTCCAACACAACAATATTGGGACAGAACTTATTCATGAAGATAGCTACAGTAATATATGCCTGTTGTTGCAGAGTATATTTTTACCAAGACTACTGGGACCAAGAGAAGCAAGTCCAATAAGAAATATGTCATAAGGAATTGTATACTTCCACTTTACATACAACTTTTATATAATGCACTGCAAAGTTTTAATATAGTTATATTTTATGTATCAGAATAGACAACTTATAAATTCAGTTCATGGTATATTATATAACCATCCTCAATAGTGAAGAGTTCTGTCTTCTGGGATATAATTCTGTGCAGTATGATGAAAGTCAATGAATGCTTCAGAAGAACGTGTCTTCCCCATTTTCAGAACTGAAGAGCAAGCCAAACAAGAAACCAGCATGAAGCGGGCATCAAGATCGTGTGGGATGTGAAAACATGGGATTACTTAGAAGCATACTGGACCTTGGAAGCCAAACCATTAGTTTGCACTGATAATCCCACGTTTTTATAAGCTGTGTGTTCGGTTTGCTGCCTTCTTGCTTGGCTTACTCTTCAAGCTTGAAGATGGACGCAACATGTCGCTCCAAAACACTGACTGACTTTCAGCGGACTACATGGCGTTATATACCAGAAGACAGAACTCTTCACATCCACTGCTGTGAAAACCCCAAATCCTACATGCTTAATAGTATATGTAAGCATAACTGATAATCTTCTGCATGTCTTCATGTAGTTGTATCAGTTCAAAAGGAAGTCAGACAAACTATAATTTTACAATTCCTTGAAAATTAAAAATCAATGTTCTATAGAACTTGGAGATATGCTTTTGTTAACCACCTATAATTGTAATCTTGGGTATTTCATCATAATAAGAGAATACCAAACATTTGTATTTTCTCTAAGCAAATATATAGTAAACCTTTCCTTCTGAGTTATTCAGTTCATCATAACAGTAATAAAGTCATTTTAGTTTTAATTCATGTAAAAACTGGATCTCTCATGTACGAGATTGTACAGGTAAAACATTCTAAGTGGATAAATGGAAAATTCCTTTGGGTACAGCTGTTGGCTATTATGATGCTTATATGATGAGGCTTTCATAAAAAAAAAAAGATCCTTCATCATAACTTATAAATTCAGTTTGTAGGATGTCGCATACAGTTTTGCTGATAACACATACTCAAGATATGCATAGAAGAAAGGTGGGTTTCAAAGTGATGTAGCCTGGAAAATGTCAACAAATGAAAAGCACTTCAGGCATAAGGGGCTGAGGAAGAATCAACAATAAATTCTACCAACTCTACTTATAAACTACTGGAAAATGTTCATTCAGTGGGTGCAAGAATACCAGAGGCATATCAGTAGGGAATCGCTGTCATGAACCGAGGTCAGCTTTATTTTTACTGAAGCAGACTGACATAATTAACATGTATGAAAGTTGCACATTTAATTTCTATAACAAAGCCTTACTCAAAATACCGTATTAGGATAACCAGTTTAGGTTGCAGTACATATTTCACATCGATTTTCTGGGAAACATTTACCTATGGCTTCCTTCATTTATATTGACTACGTAACTATTCAAAAGCCACTTACATGTACACAGTCTGCTTAATTCTGAGAAGCACTATAGAGCAGTCACTAAGGTAACATGGCTTGCTACATCTATGGAGAACTTTCTTGAATTGTGGAGGGCCAGTCTCTCATCTTGGGGAAATACAGTGTAACCACAACAGAATAAATATGACTTAATAATCAGAACTTCATTATAACAACAAATTTTGTCAACACCAATAAATTTCTCTACTTTGCATACATGAAAAGATCTCACATAAAAGGAGAGCTTCTTCCAGCACTTTCATCATTGTGAGTGATTTATAAGCAGCCATAACTTTTTCTGTAGCATTTTGCTCCAACTGCACCTGCAGTTTTGCTTCCTGAATTATTTCAACCAGGTGGTATGTAAAGGTCTGTTAACTGTCTAAGCTCTCCCTTATCATGAAAATACAGTCTGCATTCCAGGATCTAAATGTCTGAGTATAGAATTCACTCAGCCCAAGCAGAAACACTTGGCACACATACATAAAGCTGTTCTAATTTGCAACTGAAAATATGGCTGACTCTTCAAAATACTACACAGCTGCAATAGGAGACAAGGCTTTGGGGACCACATCTAGCAAACCTGAAAGTTTCAAGCTCAAGGCCCAATGCCTGAATTTCAACCAATATGAAATGTGCATAACGTAACATCATCTTAAATTCACTTCAGCCCAGCAGCTTGTTTCAATGAGTACTGTCACTTGACTAATGAATGGGAATTGCAAGCATATCTGTGATTGTCCCACTTTAAGTTAAAAATTGTCTAATCCTAATTATGGCAATAAAATAGAAATGCTGAACCTCCATTATGGAAGATTTGAGGTTTACACGGCGGTGACTATGAAGAAAGCAGTCTTCTGGGATGTGGCACCATGTAGATGTGGTGTTAACCGACGTTCCTCCGAAATGTCTGTTAACACCACATCCCAGAAGACTGCTTTCTCCAATATCGAGTTTAAGTAACATGTCTCTATGAAGTCGGGCACCTGTCAAAGAGTGAAACTGGAAACAGATGGGTTGATTTCTCTGACGCTGTTCATCAGTTTCAGGAACAAAGATAAAATACAATCAGTTGTTCCATATGACAGAAAACCAGTCATACAAAACCAAATGCACAAAGCACAGAAGGTGTATTTTGAATCCATCCCTTTGATAGGTTTAACCAGAAATCATCAGCTGCAAATCTATTGATGGACCAATGGTCAAGACAAAAGCCACCCATTTTGTGGCTTTTAAAGATCAAGATCTTACAGTTTTACAAAGACTTTATCGTTTCAAAGAAGGGGGGTGGAGGTGAGGAAGGTGTAGTATAAACAAATAGGTTATTCTGCTGTGTTTACAACTGCCGCATAACATAGCTATATATGCACAAATGTCTCAAATTTAACTTCCTGCATTGAGGGTGCACAGCAAATATTTGGTGAACTTTTTTAAGTAAAGGATGGCTCCTCATAAGCAGTCGTGAGAAAAAGAGGTTATGTAGGTATGAAAAAATCTTTCATACTGCTACTGATGCTGAGAATACTGAATCTTTCCCCATTCATTTCTGAACCACTGAAAAATAATAAACACTGCTGTATCTACATTATTGTTTTTAAACTTATGCATATTGCGATGTATGTAACTAGAAGCTTGGACATGGGACTCATGATTATGTAGTTCCACTATTTTCAGATATTACAATGGGCATTTTAAGAGTAGGTTCTCGTTATATCAGCATTGTACAGCTCCTGGCTTCACTTCATGAAGTACATGCCAATTTTCTGCACTCCAATAGCAACTGTTCTGGCTTTTGACTCTTGTAAATTATACCAAATGAGAAATTGAAAATACAAAACACACAGTTTGGATTGAAAAATTCTTTGCCATCCATTTTTTGGAACTACCTTCAATACCACTTTCCTGTTTCACACATATTGCATACAACTGCAGTTTTGCAGACCATGACTTTTAACAGCTGTGTTGCAGTGTGAGCTGAGCTTTATGACATGCAAAACTGGAAAAAATCTAGGACAGTTGTCAAATGATTCTTTTGGATCGGCTTCCCAGAGAGTGTGAATACTGTCCGCTATTCCATATATTGCTACTTATAAAGGATTTCTCATATAACTTCCTCATAATGAATAATTTATGAAAACACTGCACAGGAAAAACTTTTGTTCAATCTTGTACAGTGTGTTCAATGATACAGGAAACCTGGCAGCAATGGAGAGCAGACACAACATTTCTCACAGATTTCTGCTGTAACTGTTGATAGCAGAATGAGTCATTAGTGCTGATAAATGCGTGCCATCTTGCACTTCAGTATGTCACATTAATAGTCAGTCTGTGTTGGTGTCAATAAGCAGTTGCCATTTATACTGGAATGAAGTTCACTATTGAACAGCATATGTTTATTGTCAAAACTTTTGCAAGGAAAAAACTTACAGAAAATGTATCCGTAAGTTTCATAAATATCCTGACTCTCCAGTTCCCATAAAGTTGGGTGTATCCAAGCTTGTGAAAAAAAGGGGGGCCACAGGTTCAGTGTGTGACATAAAAAACAATCAAAGAGTATTGTGCTGACTGAAGAAAAGGTTCGGGATGCTGAGGCGCGACTACAGATCAGTCCTCAAACATCGTTAAGACATTCAGCACAGAAAACTGGTTTCTCATTAGGATGTTTTCACAGCCACAAAATTAATCAAATTTCACCCATATAAAATAATAGTTGTGCATAAGCTGAAACAACAAGATTATGCAGCAAGAATTCGTTTTTGCAACTGGTTCCTGCAAAATGTGTACAATGGAATCGTGGATCCACAGCTTCTATTCATGACTGATGAAGCATGGTTTCACATTAGTGGCCATGTCAGTGCACAAAATGTAAGAATATGGAGCGATGAAAATCCTCATGCTATGCAGCAAATGCCATTACACAGTGAAATGTGGGCAGTGTGGTATGCTGTATGTCAGCGGCGAATCACTGGCCCCTTATTTTTTCCATGAAACTGTGAACTCTGACCGCTACATTAATGATATACTAAATCTGTTCTTCAATCAGCTGACTGCTGAAGAAAGACAATATGGGTATTTTCAGCAAGACACTGCTACAGCACATACGGCTAATGCATCCATGGTCGCAATACAGGAAGTGTTTCAAGACACAATAATCAACAGAGGACTGTGGCCTCCCAGATCCCCAGATCTCAGTTTTGTAATTTTTATCTTTGGTGAAACCTAAAGGGAAAAGTCTACAGTAATAATCCTTGCACTACTGAAGCTCTGCAGAATGAAATAACATTCGTAAAAGGTTCAATTACCGTGGACCAACTTCAGAAAGTGCTGCACAGTATTTTTATAAATGTGTGCATGTCCAGAAACTGATGTGAGGCAATCAGCGACATGACTGCACTCCCACTAGCAGGGAAGTGCACAGCAGTCACAGAAAAATGTTCCATCCACTCTGTGCTGCTGTCAGGTTTACTCTACGGCTGAACCCTCTGTACTTCACTCAATTACTGGACAAAATCACTAATATAATTGTATTAAATCAGCTACTAGAACACAATTATCTTCAGAAGCACAACAAATCACTGTGGTCGCGATGCAAGGGCCAAGAGAGCCCACCCCTTGTACATTTATTCATACATCTTCATCTGTAAGATTAAGTTACCACAGATTTATGTGGGAGAATAAACATTTCAAGGTGTAGTTACACAATAAAATAAACAGAGACCCTGGAATATCCATGAACAGGTTTGAATACCATTCCATCACGGCGCACAGTAACTTGTGCCAATGAACAATAGGTCTTATGATCTTACTAGTAATAGCCTATTTGTACTTCAGTTGTAAAGGAACTAGAAGTTTAAAGATTACAATATAAGGCTTAATAAAAATGTGTTATTACTGTGGACTGGGTAACAGAAATACCTGTGCCTCATGTTAAAAAAGTGCATTACACCATACATATACAATGTATAGTACAATCTTCTCAAAGAAGCACCAGGAACCACTGCATGCTAGTGATGACTTCTTGCATTTACTTTCAGAACATGGCACTGCTGACCCTTTGACTGCAAAGTCCCACCACAGAACTATCTGCTAGAAACATCAAAACTGCTCTGTGGTAAATGCATTTGCACAAAAGGACCCACAGTACTTTCTCAGATTACCTTCAAACAATTATTAAAGCCTATTCTCTTCTCTAAACAACAGTACATCACCATAGTTGACAGAAATGCTCTTTGGCTATTGTAGTTTCAATGTGAGTATGCTGAGCCAATCTAATCAGTTGAGAGCACATGAAGGGTAAATCAGAAGTCACAATTCCTAAGACTGCTGGTGTATTAAGTTCACAGATGCCATTCAGAATTCACTGTGGTCAGAAATGTACATTTATTTTGTAAGAACTGGAGCATTTCTATTACAACATTACAGCAAGAACGAGACATAATATACATATCAATAATGCTGACAATGATTATTAAAAAATGAGTCAATTAACCATGTTGAATTAACTGTGTTATTTTGTACTTACACATAATGATAATAAAAGTCTTGATTCTCACTGTAGAAATATAAATTTGTTTTGGGAATTACAAGCATTGATAAACAGGGACGAAATACGTTAGAATATCAGAGTCATGTAAGATGTACATGCAACGTCCTACAGGCAACAAAAATTAATATACCTAGTCATACAATTTTTGCAGCAAGGTGAGAATTCAGAGATCAAAATGTATATAATAATCTGGCAAGTATTTCTTTCAATATTACTGTATATGCAAAAAATGAGAATAAATTAACACTGACTGCTAACTGCAATAAACAGTTAAAACACAACCCACACAGATCAACTAATAGCAGTAGGCAAGTACAGACAAATTTATAACTCCAGTTGCAGCAAATTACCTTACAAATTCCTTCAGCTGTAAGTTAGTCCATCATAAAAACCAACCACCTTAAAATTTGAGGCGCTTTAAGTTGATTTTCCTTATTTGTACTTCATAAATTCCAAACTTACCAACACAAGTCAGTTACTCATATTTATTCATATTGCGGTCCTTTGAGTTATGACACCAGGCAGTCTGATAGGTAGGCACCAATAATTCAGAGCAGTATGTCGCCTCCATCTTTAAGGTAGAAAATTGAGGCAATATGTTCCTCCAAAACGATGGATCCACCTACCAGACTACAGAATGTCATAACCCAGAAAGCCACAATATGAATCATCACTATTATGAAAATCTTAGATCTCACATAATTGAGTTATTATGACACAGGACAGATTAAAACTGTACTAACATGTCCATAATTACAAAATTATATCAGTAAATACCATCAGATGGTCCTCCCAACACATTTCCAAGTAGCACACAAGCAAACAAACCAAAAAGATGTACTTTTGGGAGTTTCAGAAAACTAACAAGTTGTATGTGCAAACTTAGCAGAATTTCCATCTGTTACCACATTCGTTGCACATGACAAAAGTTGTCATAGGTTCATCAGCACTCCTTGTCTGAACCTGCAACAACATTCTGTGTTATATGAAGAGACAGGGTGTACAGGTATGGAATGAATTTGAACGGCTCTGAATAAGGTCCACCGGTGGGCCCTTGTGAGATGGTGATATATTCTAGAAGCATGAATGATGATGTGCAGTTTAAGAGTTTCACATGAAAATTATTTTATGACTTATGCCCCATAAAGATTACTAACACCCTAATATCTAAAACTGTGATACCGTCATATCCTCCATTTATTTGAGAGCTGTAAAGAAGCCTAGTTGTTCAGCCTTAGGTGCTAATCTCGGACATATCATGCAAATGTTCTGTTAAGCAGCCATGCTAAACAAGAGCAATCTTTCAAGATCTGTCAAAAAATTAAAATGATTCAAGAGGCAGAATACACTAGAAAATGCACAGCTGGTAGNGCTGAGCACTTTTTTCCTAACAGACAAATTGCTTGTAAGATTTGAGGCTTTCACGGCAGTGACTATGAAGAAAAAAGTCTTCTGGGATTTGGCACCGTGTATATGTGGTGTTAACCGACGTTTCGGAGGAACGTATCGCCCCCATCTTCAGGGTAGAAGAAAAAGTATAAGAAATCTGCAAGCGACAACACCGTGAGAAACGGTAAAGCAGATTTCTTATACTTTTTCTTCTACCCTGAAGATGGGGGCGATACGTTCCTCCGAAACGTCGGTTAACACCACATATACACGGTGCCAAATCCCAGAAGACTTTTTTCTTCATAGTCACTGCCGTGAAAGCCTCAAATCTTACAAGCAATTTGTCTGTTAGGAAAAAAGTGCTCAGCTGCAGAACATCATATCCTGTAAAGCACTGTCACATAGTATGTATGACTATAGATGGTGTTTTGATTGGTGAATGGATTTATTGACCACGTGCACACATGACTCAGAACTACAACCAATTACAGCACCACCGCTAATCTCCACAAATAACCACAGCACCCGCTGAGTCTTTTCCAGCATACTGTATCTTCACCAGCCATTCCTGGGCTACTGCTTCTTAGAGTGGAGATTCTTCAGCTTCCTGTGCTCAGGTTCTATCTTCTATCTTCAGGACTCTTCTCACTGTCATGTAATTCTGTCCCTTGCTTATATCATTAGAGCATGGACCATGTAGAAAACACCATTCTTTTATCATTGTGTTTGTGTCTGCTGCTGTAGACCAGAAATGGTCAAGGCACAGATCACAGAAAACACTGTTCTATTGCAGCATGAGTGTATGTTACGGGCGTTACCTAGCAATGGCCACTGTTTACAGAGTCACCACTCAGCAATGGGTCTATACGCCACACTGCTTTCTCCTTAAGGTTATTTGTCCCAAACTTCTTACAGGCATACTGTTATTTCTTCTCTTCTGAGGGCTGTGCTTCTAATGTCTGTGATAGGTCTCACCCTCCTTCCCGTGGCTGTTTTCAGAGTGATTACTCTCTGACTGCTCCCACTGCTCCCTCCTTAAGTCTGCTTGTCCCTAGCGGTTTGCTGATAAGGTGCCAGTCGGTGCAGGTGTACCATTAACATCCTCCTTTCCACAACGCACAACAGGATGCAAATGATAAAGTTCTCTCCTTCAGTCAGTGCAGGCAAAACTACTTAAGTGGCTGGTACTCCTACAGTTCCAGCTCCTACTTTGAATTCAGTGTCTTTTTACATTTCAGAGGGGGCCAACCCCTTAACAATGTTCAGTCCTTCATCCTATATTGTCAAATGGAAGTTCGAACTATTTGCTTCATGACCTCCAGCTCTATGGTCTTCCTGAAGATCCTGCCACATGTCCTCTCCTTTTTCAGACATACTTGCTTCTTTCTTATGGTTTTGCCAAATGTCTCTTCCTGAATGTCTGTCCTTTCTAGGACCCTGGTACAGCCTTGCCCTTGCCTTGTTCCTGATAACAGTGTTCCTCACACCATGCAGAAATGGAACAGCAGGTCAACTATCTGCAGATGGCAGCCAACTTCTTCTGGGACCCACCAAAGTCCTGGGTCCATTTCTTTGACTCACCATGGTGCCTTTCAACTAGATGCCAGTCCCTATGCCACTTCTTCAGTGCTCCAGCATTTTCCACTGTGGCGTCTTCCTCAGGAATCTCCTAATGCACCACTATGGACTTAAATTTATTCTGGATTTACCTCAAAATCTGTGGCCTCTGTCTTTCTTAGACAGGCCTCCATTTTCTCTAGCCAGGAGCCCATCATGGCCATCATCCTTTCGTGATGGGCATATAATTTCACCAGTATTTCTTCTTTCAGGTGTTGCTGGCTGGCTCTGACTTCTTCTCAGTTTGTTCTTATTTCAGCCTTCATTTTGGCCAGCATTTGTGCCACCACTTGTTCCATCTCCATGCTATGGTGGTATAATGATCCAGTGCAGTTTCCAATCCAACCACTCCTAACAACAGTTGTCACGTAGTATGTGTGGCTATAGATGGTGTCTGGATAGGCGAATGGATTTATTGACCATTTATACATATGACTCAGAACTACAACCAATTACAACACCACCGCTAATCTGCACAAATCACCACAGCACCTGCTGTGCCTTCACTGGCCATTCCTTGGCAACGGCTTCTAACAGTGGAGATTCTTCAGCTTCCTGTGCTCAGGTCATCTCTCACACAGAACTCTTCTCACTGTCAAATAACTCCGTCCCGTGCTTATAACGACTTGGCATGTGCCACATAGAAAACACTTTTTATATTGTTGCGTTTGCATCCACTGTCACAGGAAAGTGTTTAACGAGCCATTACCCAGAAACGGTCGTGGTGTGGACCACAGAAAACACTGTTCTTCTATTGGTCACTGTTTACGCTTAGCCACAGTGTGATGCCATAATAGTGGGAGTGGGGGGGGGGCACAAGTGAAAAGCCACCGCATTCAAATTTCAAGACACCATGCACTCTGTTAACTTATAACTGGTATGTACACTTTAACACTTCAACAGATTAATGTATTTTTTATGTTTACTTTTTAAAAAATGGAGAGCATGGCTTATTCAGGCACAAAGAATATCTCAGGAAATACAGTGATCCTTTTCATAATAAAACCGAAGTGTTTATCTAACTTTCATGATTGTATATATCATCACAGATTCATTGCTAAATACAATATACTGAACATGCATTTCTGTTACAAACACCAACAGTGATCCTAACTTTCAGACTGATTTTAACAACGGCACTAGAGCTATTAACAATCTGCAAGCTGGTGCATAATACATCATGCTGAATATAAAAATTATATCATGTAAGCTTCAAGATAGTCACTTGCCTGATTATATGTGCAATTCCTCTTCTTACATTTGCCACATTTGAGTAGGTCTGTTTTGGTGCCTTGAACAGTGGCTAATTGGGCATCATTTATGGCTTCCTTCAAAAATTTGTTTCGGAGGCTTTTCATCTCATCGCTGGCCATTTCCTGGAAATGTGTATAAACACAACTGCAACTATAACAAAACCTGGTCAAGAACAATAGTTAATACTATTGAAAACTGCNTATAATCAAATGGACTATTTCCACATCCTAGGATTTTTGCCTGTATGGATATATGGAAAATAAAGGAAATGAATGAACTACAGAAAGAGGGAAAGAAAGAAATGGAACCAAAGAACAAGAAAGGAAATGGGGATGAAAAAAGAACAGTATAAAGGAGAAGGAAAAGAGAGAGAGAGAGAGGAAAGCAGGTGTACACAAGTACTCTCTTCTAAGAACTTCCACTACTGCATTCACACTCAAAAACAGCTTCATATGATAAATCATATCCATATGCAACAACAACTGCACATGTGTATGCAAGATAGACAGGAGGGGACGGGAGAGAGGGCACACATCATCCTAATATCTTTCCATCCCGTGATCGATCCTATGGAACTTGGTACAGACATCATGCTACATGATGCTAACAAAATTTCATATATCATAGTTATCATCAAGAACACCAACATGGAAGATACATAAACATCTGTGGTAGGATCAACAATAAAGCCACTTAATATAGAATACACAAATGTCATTACTCAACCACTTTAAGAAACTGCAATTACTGCAGAATGAAAAACGACACCATGGTATTTGTGCAAAATCCATATTGAGCTTCTTAGTTTATAGCAACATCTGATGATCCCTTTCAGCTAAAATGTGAAGTTCTGTATAGATAACAATTTCCATGGAGTGGCAGCATCTTCAAGGAGCTGACAGTTACTCACTTGGTCAAAATTTTCAACCTTTTACAAAACCTGAATGTTTATTACCATGTTCATAAAATCCCACCACTACATTCTGTTCTGAACCAACTGAATCCAGGTAACATTTTCAGACCTTCCCATCTATGACTAGGTTTAACAAGTGAGCTCTTCACTCCAAACTATCTAACAAAAATGCTCCAAACATTTTTCACCAACCGACATCATGCTGTATATCCCATACATCTCACCCTCCTTGATTTCATCATCCTGATAACAGCAGGGCAAAAGAAAAATTTATAAAGCTACTTAATATTTGTCTCCATCCTCCTGTTAGTTCGTGAAGCTTAGGAAATTTGGTTGGATATGAATCACCAAGGTTCCTGCAAATTTTGTAAGAAATATTATTTGTACAATGAAAATTACACCCAGAATGATGGAGATAAATTCTGAAGTTAGCCTGGCTACCTCAGTGTAAAAGAAATCTGTAGTAGGGAAAAATATGCACAGAAACAGATCACTAAGTTCTATAATTATTACTATATAATTCTACTAGACTCTAAGGGAATTTTCTCTTCTCCATGTTGTCCAGACTGGCTCTGGGACCCACCCAGCTTCCTATACAATGGGTAATGGGGGATCTTTCCCTGGGGGTATAGCTGCCAGGGCGTGAAGCTGACCACTCACCTCTAACTAACAAGAAAATGTGGATCTATACAACCATTCCCCCATACATCTTCATAGCATACAACTTAATTAGTTAAGCACAGGGACAACTAGACTCTATATTGATGAGAGCATTAAAAGGAAAGTAGACATCATAAGGTAAAGATAAAATTGTCCCTGTGCGTAATTAAGTAGCATGCTATGAAGACACATGGGAGAGGAGTTATAGCTCCATACCTTCTTAGTTTCTTCATTAGATGGAGGTGAGCGGCCAGCTTCAGTCTCTGGCCACTTTGCTGATAGCATGCACCAAACAGGAGACTGGCTAGGCCTCAGGGCCAGTCTGGATGCAAGGGAGAAGAAATATGTCTGTCCCTGTCAGGAATCAAATCCCGAATTCCTGAAGTTCAGCCCATTGTCTAGCCACTACAGCGAGTGCTAGACTCGCTCTTAGATATTAAATTCATTCAAAACTTGTTAAATAAATGTTACCATCCAAAATCAGTAGAGATGCCCACAAGTTAACATGTTAACGCCATGTCACCAGTAATCAATACAATAAAAACACTTGCATGTCAATATATCAGTAACATTTCTACTCAGCTTAGGCCATGATGTATTCTCAAAATACCATCACTACATTTATTTCACACCTCTGCTGTCATGACAGCCAGTCTGCTAGCAGGAATAACACCAACGAGGAAGTTCATCCTCAAGCCAGGATTCTTTGTATCCTTTAGGTTGGCAACCCTGCTGCGCACTCTGTTCTTGTAACGCATGTCAGTATTTCGGAACTCTTGGTAAATGGCTTCTTCTAATTCTTCGGCCAGATCTTCAGGTGATGCACAGCCTTCTGGGATCTCTGAAACAATTAGTAGCAATGTACAAAATATATTGCACCAAATGCCTTCTGGTTGCTTGTGTCATAGGGAGACTCTATACATGGCATGGCGTTTTCAAGTCAATTGACTCATCAAGTACAATTTACCAGTGGCCTACATGCCCAGCACTAAAAGGGTTAAAGAAACAGGGCGTGAGGGCATGGACTTCATTCATCTAGCTTAGGACAGGGTGCTGCAGCAGGCTTTTGTGAACATGGTAATGAAACTTCAGGTTCCATAAAAAGCAGGACCAACTGATGTATCAGCCTCTAAGAAAGAATATAATCCATGTAGCTAGTTACAAGCAATCCTCATTATCTGACCATTCAAGATCCAAATAACTCATCCATTTGACTATTATCCATTACATCCATTCCTTGTTATGTGACCAGTTGCTCCCCAATTATTCAACTGACAGAACTGCTCCAATATGGTGAATGCCTAGAACAGACTGGTTTGTGAGGATGAATATTCACCCAGACCAGACACAGTTAATGTTAGTTACAGATCAGGTGGTGTTCTCTCCTTAAAGTTGATAACTCACATATAGAGAGCAAAGATGAAGAAAATTTTAGGTGAAAATAGTACAGCAAAATATTCATATAGGCTGTTCTGTATTTCATTTTCAATGCTCTCAACCAGCATTATTATTAAAGAAATCCCCAAGACTTGACTCCAAGATTCAATCACCAATTCAAGAAATGAATTCTGATTGAATCTAGGGGTATGCTGATAACTGAAAATCAGAGTAAAAGTTCACTATCTCAGCTTTGAATGGCAATTTAACAAACAAAATTTAGATAAGTTCTACACATACTGTTACAGTACTCCTTTAAGTTCTGGATCTGAATATGACTGCAAAATAGAAATATACCTCCATCTCCTCTCACTGCCGTAGACAGAAGTTCACGGCACTTAAGTCGAACAGCATCTGTAGTATTTGAAGAGACAGGTGGAAATGTTGTTGGCATTTTCTTTTCCTTCTCCTTGTCCTTCAATTCTAGTTCTCTGGGCTTCTCTTCCTTTTCCTTTGATTTCTTTGAGCTGCCTGCTGTGTCCTTGCTGTTGGGTGTATTTGGGCCTTACATGAAATGCAAATGTGAAAGACTTTAGAGAAACAGATAAGTGTGATCAATGCCAGTTACTTTAAAACTTTCTTTCAGTATTTAAAGGGGATCAAAGAAAACCTTTAATGCTGCACCCAATTCTTAAAACATCTACCTCAAATCAAAACAATCTATCTAAGAACTGCTGAAGAACACTTTAAAATTAGATACTCTAAAGGAGGTGGGCAGGGCACGTAGAACGAATGGGGGAGAAGAGGAATGCATATAGGATACTGTTGGGAAAGCCAGATGGAAAGAGCCCACTAGGAAGACCAAGGCGTAGGTGGGTGGACAATATTAAAATGGATCTTTGAGAGACAGGATGGGATGCTATAGATTGGATTGATCTGGCTCAGGATAGGGACCAGTGGAGGGCTCTTGTGAACATGGTACTGAAACCTTCAGGTTCCATTAAATGCTGGGAAATTCCTGAGTAGCTGCAGATTTGGCATCTCCTCAAGAAGGACTCAGCTCCATAAGTAAAGAGACATATACAAGCACAAGCACTCGCCATTACAACAGCACTGCAAAATGTATGGGAATAATTCCTGCCATTTGGAGTAAGTATTTTTTGATTCACAAAATAAAGGATGGCTGAAAGGGATTTATCTTGATTAAGCAATACTGAAAGACCTCAAAGCTCCACTGAATTAATACTATGACTTCAATGAAATGTAACAGGCACTTCATTATAAGCAGATCATCTTTTATTATTAGGATGGTGAAATCCTGGAGGCTATGGCATCTGAACATGAAGTAGAATGGTGGAGCTATTGAATGATACAGAAATTCAGTGAGAAATCCTGTTGAAATTAACCACTTTGAAAACTGAGGAAATGGGAGAACATTAAAATGCATGTTAGGGTCATATATTTTAAGGATAGAATATAAATATCGCTCCAGATGTCCAAAGGCAGTCTTTGACATGAGCCATAATAATACTCTGGACTGTGCTATAATGCCTACCTGAAAGAAACTTCTTCCAGTTTTTAATCAATGTTTTTGAGAGGCTTATCACTTCATCATCTGAACTGGATTTTCGAAGGGCATTAACTGTCATTCCAATCCTTGTTTTTGTAAGAACCTCCAAGTTGACAGGAAGTTTCTGCAGCACCTTCAGTAACTCCAGAGCCTGTTCCTGTCCCTGTACAGAGACAAAGACAAATGGAAGTCAACGAAAATATTAACAAGCGAAAGACTGCTGAAACAAAAAATGACAGCACAACTTGTGTTTCCATCCCATACTGCAAAAATGATTATACCAAAACACAAAGAGATGGGTAAGTAATGCACACATAAAACTGGATCTGTGTTTAGGCATCATGCTATGTAGAAAAATAGTGTTTTGAAGTAAAACCCATGCACTCAGCAATAAGTGGAAGAGTACTAACCAAATTCATGCTCTAGATACTGTACCCACACCCAGGAAGGAGTTCCTGGTACTCACTGAATATGAGCCAGGGTTGTCTCCAGCATTAGTGGAGACACAGTGAAGAACAGAAAAATCCCTATACCCACTGGCGGTCAAACCTAACTCATCCAACTCGAAGCATGTCACTATACTGACCGAGCCATTCCAGTCCAATGAAATGGCACTGTGACACAATAAATGCATACAGCATCTTGATAGGAAAGCTTCTCTGAGTGGGTTGGCAAATTAGAAGAGTTTTAGACTCAGGTCCTGGAAGTACTTGGTTAAAGCCTTCACTGCAGCACCGGCTATCCTGACTGAATTTCCTGTGTCCCTCTAAGCAAATGCAACAATATTACCTTGATTAGGCCATGACCACTTTCTTCAAAATCCTTTCCAATTAATCATTCATCAACCATCCTACCAGTCAATGCTTTGTAATCTGGATCCTGTCATTAAATAACCCACAAGATAGAAGCTTCAAAGGACGACTATTTGGGAGGACAATATTTAAAAGAAACTGTGAAGGTGTTAATGATGGGGCAAATACAGTGGGGAATTTTCAGATTGCATAAAATCATTTCACCACCACATGAGTATCATTTGCTAACATCTAATTCAATGTTTTTCTGCATACATCACTGGAAGTTCCCAGAACCTCAAAATGTATTACAAATTTTCAGCATGTTAAGCCAGAGTACGAGATTTGTACGGTGCAGGTGCTATTTTCCTGTACTTAAATGTGTCTAGTTTGTCGCCCTGCACGAGTTTTTGAGTACATGTACACTGTAGTTGAACATGCTTAAACAGAGTCGAGCGTCTTCAGAATCCTCATGTGACATCAGCCCCAGTCATTATTTCTGAATGTGTATTTATGTGTTTATAATCCTGATCAAGGAGTATCAGTGACAAAGTTCTGAACTTCTTCCTTGTTGACTGATGATATAAGCTGAGAGGACGTGACAGACTATACATGTTAATGTGTTGTGTTGTTTCTTCGTTCTTCTGTAGCCTAAACAGAAATGTCAACATTCACTAACACCCTCTGCAAGTCTGAATTCCTTAGCCAGATGAGACACTCTACATCTAAAATAAATATAACATTTCCTTCCATATACCATACAGATCTACCTCTGTCAATGGTTGAGTTACTTACGTACTAAGCACGCACCTCAAAAATGCTTTAACAAATCCTTTAACCCTAAGGTAAAAAGCTAGTCTTAGAAAAACTGATAGTTATACAGATGGTCTTTTTAAAGAACCTGAAAGTTCATTACTGTGTTCCCAAAAGCTAACCACTGGACTGCATCCTGAGCCTAATGAACTGGGCCCATATCCTCACACACTTAATTTCTTTAACATTCTTTTTAACATTATCCTCCCATCTTACCTTCACGATTTCCAGTTCAAATTCTGTATGCATCTCTTATGTCTCTCATGTGTGCTACAGGTCCTGCCCAGCTCATCCTCCTTGAGCACTCTAATAATATTTGACAAAGGGTATAAATTATGAATCTCATTGTTATATTATTCTCTCCATTCTCCAGTTATTGATGTTCTCTTAAGTTCAAATTCTCTCCTCAGCAACGCGTTCTTCAACAGCTTCAATCTACTATGTTCCCACAATGTGACAGACCAAGTTTCATACACATACAAAACAACAGCTAAATTCAAGTCTCTTGTATTTTAATCTTTACATTTTTGACAGAAGACAGGAAGATGGGATACTCTGAACTGAATATCTAATTTAGTCTGCTTTTAAATTTTTCATGGATCTTCTCTAGATTTGTTGTCATTTCCCAAACACCACACAAACTTAAAATTAAAGAAGTCACAGCTTCAATTATTCCAAATGAACAGAGCCCTTTTTAAAAGAAGCTATGAGTGCCAAAGCCCTGAAAGCACACAGTTTCATCATTGGCTGGTCAGTATATTTTAAGTTGCCTTTCTTGTTTGGGGCTGGGGGCATGCTGTAGCATAGTTGGTTGAGGCACTATGCTATAAGTGCTATAAGCCGGAAGGTCGTGGGTTCAAGACCTGATGATGTCATTGGATTTTTTCAATTGACCTAATCCTTCCAGCCACACTATGGCCCTGGGGTCAACTCAGCCTCTAACAGAAATCAGTATCATGAATATTCTTGGGGGTAAAGGGCGGCAGGTGGTAAGGCTGACAACCTTACCGCTATTTATGAGCCGATTGTCTAGAAAATGCGGGAACCTCAACATCTCACAAACCTATGGGCCTGGGCCTCCACAGCCTGTTACAGGGATACCTTTACTTTACTGTGGGGGGTGGGCATGATCTATCACCTGGCTTCATGAGCCACTTTGCAACGGACCAGTGCTTTCACTTCTCCTCAACAAAATACTTTCATTCATTCATGCAGCATTATCAACAAAATGCATTTTTTGGTTGTCCCATTTACAAACTTTATATCAGTCACATAAATTTAAGTCCACATTTACAATCTATCAGCCAGTTTCTTACATATTCTTTGACGTCAATCACACTATTTACAACTGTAGCTGATGAAAAGTTTAGAACATCTGTTCTCATATCTAAACAAGTTCTTATATTTTCCCAATACATCAAAATTCTGTGACTGGTTAAGTTCAGATGTGTTAGGAAACTGTCAATCAATGCTGTGGTTAAAGTTCTGAATATGCACCCAATATACACTAAACACCACTAAGGCTGATGAATATGTGGGGGAGCTGGTCAAGCGGTGAAGAGGAATTACATGAAAATATTGAAATTTAACTACTCTTTTACATTATGGTTATAGTAATTCTAGTAAAATGATACAAGGATATCTTCTAGCAATTTAGTTGTAATTAGGGGTGTGAGATAATGGAGTGCAGGTATATGATATTAACCTCACTGCATGAAAAGAATCTTAAACTCTATACTGGTTTTCTGCCATTAGCAGAAAGGATAAAATCCTTCTAAGGCAGTGTGGTTAACAATTACACCAAACATTATCACAAGCAGTAATATTTTATAACAGTAAAATTTTACACTAGAAAAAATGTATTTTAAACTAATCTGATGTGATAAAGATCAGAAAATATTAGTTTGCCTTATTCCATATCCTCCTTACTAACACCGGTACGAATCTATACATATCAAACATGTTACTGGCGACACTTACCGCATCTCAATGTTCTTTTGGGAACACTGTCTTAGGTAGAGTGAAGATATGTACTACAAAGTAAAAAGAACTAAAATGTATTACATAATTTTAAACGCGAGAGAACATTATTTTTTCCCCTCGGATACGACAGGGTTCTGACGATTGTGTACAATACTCAGAATTACTGGTTTTTCGAACTTTATCCATCGATGACGAAAGTCCGAAAAGCCAGTAATTCTGAATTAAGTCTAATACAGTTTGGAGGGAAAAAGAGTGTAGGGTGCTAGGCTGATATAGCGCACTTATAAACTAATTACGGAACATATTTTGCACTGACGCAAAATAATATCCAAAATCACACACATTTCAGGGCCTCAAACGCGGTAAATACATTCCGCCAAAACACAACCTTGAAATGCCGCTTAGGAAAAATACAGCTTATTCGCATATAACTATCAAACTTTCTGGTGTATTTATTAATGTAGTGTTCTATTTACTTGTGAAATATAATTAACTACTCCACAACCTACGAAATGAATAAAATTAAAGTACGGCCTTAAGTGTGAAAACGTCATGCCTCCCTCATATTAAAATGCAAGCTACTGAAACCCACAGTTCCATCTCCAGATGACATTTTATTCAACTTCTTTTGAATTCTCATTACTTCCTCTTCGACACTCATGTTTAATTAGGGGTATATAATGCAAAAACAAACGTTAATGCTTAATTTCTTCGCCAGCAATCCACAAAGACTCTATCACTCTCAGACCTCTCTCCACCATATGCAACTACATGTTATTGCCTGCCAACGTCGCTGAAGTACAGTCACAAATTCATTACGCTTCCATCTACTTGCAGCGTTCAAGCTTATGGCCGCAGCCACTGCCAAGAGTTCAATCGGTAAATACGTTATCTACTACCCACTACAGCAACCTAATGCGCACTACACCGACAGAATCCCACGTTCACAGAACAATGAATAATTTTGCCACCATAAACTCTTATGCTTCAGCGTTTTCTTTTAATGATGTAACTAATATCACTTCACTCATATATCAGAAGAAAGTTTCTCAACAGTGCACATTTCATTTACACCAGTCCAACATACCCTTACTGACATGCACTGGACATTGTGAACTATAATATACATATGGCCGCGCCATAGCTCAAGCGGTTTGTCGCTGGTTTCCCACCGCGGCGGCCCGGGTTCGATCCCGGGTCTGGTCAACTGGGATTTGTGGTGGACAAAGTGGCGCTGGGGCAGGTTTCCTCCGAGTACTTCGGTTTCCCCTGCCAATCTTCATTCCACCAATTGCTCCACAATCACCCTCACTTAGCATCTTGGGCCGGTACATTAGGCCAGAAGTGGCCGCAGTACAAGGGACTTAGTCTCACCCCACTAGCATAATACACATATAAGACATATTCATAAGTCTCACCCCACTAGCATAATACACATATAAGACATATTCATAGTCTCACCCCACTAGCATAATATACGTATAAGACATATACATAAGTGTTTAGGAAAGCTGAAGTTGGATAAAACTTGAAAGAAAAGTCGGTTTCCGGCAGACATTTTTGCATTCAACCTCATTATTCTGTGCAGAACTTGCACTTGAAAGTTACATAAAACATAGTTTTCAGTTACATGTTTTATAAATTATGAATGGAAGCAATAATATTGAGGTTTTCACATATTAATTTCAGTAGTATGATGAAACTCAAGAATCTGAAATACCCTATCATTAACAAGAAAAATATTGAATTTCACAATATATCATAATCAAGAAAATAATTGCAGAACTATGATGAACCATATGAATTTGAAATTTGCTCATGTTTACAAGTTCAATACTGAATTGAATAATGTAACCAAAGTAATGAAATAACATAATATAATGCTGTGCAGCATTCTAGCAGAATCAATAATGCAGGAAATCCCAACATTTCCACCTCATACTAAAGCTTTTTTGTCTAAAAGAATAGAAATAATTTTTCATCAGTAAACATTACAAACGCGGTGAAGGTATTAAATTTTTGGGTTACATCTAGGAAAGTTAATACAGGCACTGGCCAAACTTAATTTCTGGGCTGGATTATAAATTAACAACATTTGACCATGATACTAGCAACAAAAGATTTTTAGGACTAGAAATATGTAATAGGAAAGTGGATTTAATGATTTCTAAACAGAATATCTCCTTTAGTTTCTCAGTACATTTATCAGTGCTCCCTGTTATTTTAAGGGTTTTTTAGTGAAAGGAGGTCATACATAATACTAAGAGGTCACTGGAATGATATCATTGTTCTGAATGTTCATGACCCAACACGGGCTAAAACTGATGATAAGGACAGCTTCTATGAGGAACTAGAACGTGTATTAGATAAATTCACTAAGCACCACACAAAAATTCTGTTAGATTTCAATGCCAAACTATGTAAGGAAGACATTTTCAAACCAACAAATGGAAATGAGAATTTGCACAAATCTAGTAATAATAATGCAATTAGAGTAGTAAATTTTGCCACATCCAAAAATCTGACTGTCAAAAGTACAATGTTCCCACATAGTAGCATTCATAAATTTACTTGGACATCTCCTCATGGAAAGACTCACAATTAAATTTACTATATTATGATTGATATGAGATGGCATTCAAGTATACCTGATGTCTAATAATTCAGGGCAGCAGACTGTGATACTGACCATTACCTGTTGGTGACAAAGATTAGGGAAAGGTTGACAGTGAGCAAACAAACAGCACACAGATTTCATATAGAGAGGTTCAATCTCAAGATGTTAAATAAGGTAGAGGTTAAAGAGCAGTATGGTGTTGAAATATCAAATAGGTTCTCAGCTTTGGAAAATTTAGGCACTGATGTGGATGTTAATAAACCTTGGGACACTATTAGAGAAAATATAAAAATTTTAGCAAAAGATAGTCTAGGTTATTTTGAATCGTGCAACGGTTCTTCTCCGTGAAGTTCCTTGGAGTCCCCCCCCCCGAAACGCCAGGATGCGAGCCGTTCCTCCTTCTTTCCACTTAAAGTC